AGATCAAGATCAAGAAAACAAAGATTCTCACACTGCAATCCCAGAGGTGTGCGGTTCAAATCCACCAGATGCTCCGCTGGAGAAGGAGGGACAATCTCCTCCTGTACCAGTCAGATCTGATTTGATGGTACATGCACAAAAAAAAAAAAAAAAAGAAAAAAAAGATTCTCACCACTGGGCCAATTGGCAGCATCATGATAGATGGTAAAGGGATTGAGATTGTTAATAGCTTTAGTTTGCTTGACTCCACAATCAATACTCTTGGTACCAGCAGCCAGGAAATCAAAAGACACAGTACACTGGGAAAGTCTGCTGTCAGAGACCTCGCAAACTACTGAAGAGCAATGATGACAGCCTTGAGACTAAGGTGCACCTGATCTCGGCCATGGCCTTTCCAATTACTTGCTATGCATCAGAAAGCTGGACAAATACTAGGGGTGATAGAAGGAGAATTGATGCCTTTGAGCTGTGGTGCTGGAGAAGAATATTGAATATACCACGGACTGCTAGGAGAACAAACACATTTGTCCTAGAGGGAGTGAAACCAGGCTGCTCCTTGGAGGCAAGGATTCTGAAGCTTCATCTGACATACTTTGGACATGTTGCAAGGAGGGACCAGTCCTTGGAGACAGAAAATCACGCTTGGGAGGGTGGAGGGACAGTGCAGGAGGGGAAGACACTCAATGAGATGGATTGATTCAGTGACTGGGATAATCGGGGTAGGTGTGTTAGAGACAGTGAGATTGGCACAGGATAGAGCAGGATTTAGGACTGTTGCACAGAGGGTCGCTGAGTCACAGGCGACTCAACAGCACATAACAGCAACAACAACAGCAACAACCTAGGCGATGTATTGGCATAGTGATTCCAACCGTGGGCTTGACTGAGCATGGTAGAGATTATGAGGATGGCACAAAACATAGAAAGGTTTGATCTGTTGTTCAGAGAGTTTTCATTACTCATAGTGACTTGTCAACACCTAAAAACAACAAGAACAATGACAATAACAATTAACCCTAAGATCAAAACAAGTTTCGGAAATTATGTTCGAAACTGTGTTAACGCGTTATTATTTATGAAGTCCGGCTAGCTATGGCAGGTCAGGGAGCTGGAGAATGAGAGAGAACTGATAGTCTAGATGTTACATGATGTTTGACAGAGAGAATCATGTGAAATATTTTTTAGATGACACAATTGTCAAGCCAAAGGCAGCTGGCTTGTGTCTACCAGCTACTCTAGATCTGTTGGGAGAAAGGTGGACAAACTCCATGTGTATGATTTACAATCTCTGAAAAACCTGCTGGAGGGTCAGCTGTGAGTCGGTTCTCACTTGAACATAAACAACGTCAATGTGTTCAGAAGGGAGCTGTAATCCCTAGTGGCAAGAAGCTGCACTGCAATCCCAGAGGCGTGCGGTTTGAATCCATCAGATACTTTGCTGGGGAACGAGGGGCAATCTCCTTCCGTGCCAGTCAGATCCGATTTGATGGTACACACACAAAAAATAATAAAATAAAAAAAAGAAGATGAATGAAACAATGAGATAATATATGGGAACATATATTTTTAATTAGAAAACATCTTGTGTGTATCGATCTTATTCTTTTAACAGGAAGAAAATCAGTCCTGGACTCTAGACTCCCTGGAGCCAAGGAAGGCGCACGAATCCCTGAAATGATTTTCCTGAGAAAATCTTTAAATATTAAGTAAAAAATATCCAGACCATCTGATGCCCACTGACCAAAGCTTTAGTTTCACCAGTGCAAGAGAACCCTGGGGCCCAGGGGGTCTGTATGGAGTTGTGGTCCTAACCAAAAGGCCGCTGAAATTCACCAGTCGCTCCTGGAGAGAAAAATGAGCAATCTCACCCTGAGAGATTTAGAGCCTCCAAGAACCTGCTGGAGGGTCAACTATGAGTTAGTCTTTACTGGACAGCAATGAGTGAGGGAAGGCGTGAACTTGGAAAAAAGGTCTATCTCTTTTATGGATGTTCTTTACGGTATCAAATGATACAACGAAAAAATTCTATAAAAGCCTTAGGTGCTGTGAGTTACGTTGGAAGAACACTCAGAAAATAAGGGCAGGGGTGGGCGCACATCTCAAAGGCTGCCAGCCCTGTCCCTGAGGTGTAAATGTAGAAATTGTTGTGTTTTGTTGTGTTCATCCTCAAGAACAATAAAGACAAAATAAAAAAAAATTTAAAAAACAAAAAGAAAAAGTTGGGGAGGGGGCAGCCAGACTAGAAAAAAAATAAAGCAGATTTTTTTTTTTTTTTACATTTTAATAACCTGTGTGTGTGTGGCGAGGGAGCAAATTATTTCAGCTAGTTCTCAAGGATGAGTGAGTAGTAGTAAGAGGAAGACGTGTGCTCCAGACACAGGAGAAAGTGTGTGCAAATGGGCAGAGGTGCCCTGCATGAGTTCAGCTGAGAAAGAAGGTTCTGGTTCAGGTGAGAACTGAGGAACTGAGGCTGCAGAGGACATTTGGGGCCAGATGGGATGAGTCATCTGTGCTTGGACTACTCTATGGGCTCTGGGGCATCATTCCGTGCCTCCCCTCGTCATGTAGGGCTATGACCTAAGATTGGAAGCAGGCTTTCGAAAGAGAGCTTTCAGAACCCCCGTGGGCTCCTTTTGCCTGCATTTCCCAATAGCCCTCCCAACGCCCCAAGAAAATGACCAACTCCTAATGGAAGGTTTGTTTCGTGTTCTTTTGCATTTTCTGGGCTTTACTGTCGTCCTGTGCACAGAAGCCCATTACTCCCGTCACATGTCAATGCCTCTCATGAAGGACCTTCCTGTCTTTCGTTGACCCTCAGAGGAGTTGAGCTTGTTGGAGATTGTGAGCATGGCAAAGGATAGGACAAGTCTGTTGTTCCTACGGTTGCTGTCAGTCATGGCTCACTCAATGGCACCTAACAACAACAACAACATGTGCAAAAGAAATTCCTGGGTGCTGCACACTGTTCACGTTTGGGGCTGCTAACTGAAAAGTTGGGGGTTTAAATTCACCAAGAGTGCCCTCAAAAGAAAGGCTTGGGAATTTCCTTCTGAACAACCAGCCAATTAGAATCTATATTCTTGTTGGTGTTTGTTGATTGCCATCGAGTTGAGCACGACTCAGAAACCCTATGAACAAAATACCTGAAGCCTTTCTATAACTACCGTCGTTTCTCGAAGTTCAGTTTCCAGAGGCATGCTGCTCAGGAAGTGGAGGCCAAGTTTAATTTTGGTATGTGATTGCTATGAATCTAAGTCAGTTAGGCAACGACTCGGACAATTGAGTCAATTAGACACCTCTGAGCTCTCCTGGCCTAATGTGAAGGCGTAAGGAGCAGTGCTGCCAGCCCTAAGGCACATGGATCCAATTCACCACATACTTCTCGGGGAAAGATAGGCCATCTCCTATCCTATTTACTGCCTCTGAAAACCTGCAGGTGGGTCAGCTGAGTCGTTTACGACTGGAAGATAATGCCCAAGTTAGATATCAAGGGTTATTTTTATTTTTATCTTGTTGTTATTGTTAGGTTCCCATGAGAAGCTCTTGAATCACAGTGACCCTATGAAAAGTAGAAGGAAACCATGCCCATCTTGTCCCATCCTCATAATCTCGATGTGCTTGAACTGCACTGGTTACTGTGTCTGACTTTAGATTCTGAAAGTCAGGGCTGGGTGGAGTGATTCAGAACACCTGGACAAGAGCTACGGCAGAAGGGGCATGATATACCATGCTCTTGTTTCTTAAGACAGGTGTTCATTCTGTTAGTCTTCTAGGTTGTAGAACATGTACGCTAGGAAATTTGGTTTAATTGATACAAACACAACAGTTCAGTGATTATCTGGGGTGGGCTGTTTGTCAGAGGCACAGATAATGAATGAGTAAGGAATAATCGTAGTCCTTGTGAGTGCAGAGGGAGGTCAGCTCAATTCATTCTGTTATTATCAGGTTGCAAGCAACTCATTGTTGACCCTTGGAGCAGCAGGTGGATTCGAACCATCAACTTTTGTGTTGACAGTGCAACTCCATATCCACTAGGCTATCAGAGCTCCTTACTCTAGGAGCTGTCATTGCTGTGTGCTGTTAAGTCGGCACCCATAACGGACCCTCCCACAGCTTCTCAGAGACAGAATAAACTGCAGGAGAAGAAATGATCTATCCTCCTAACGATGGTGGATTCGAACCGCATGCTTTTGGGATTACAGCGCAGCTTCTTACCAATAGGCCACCAGAGCACCCTTTCCAGAGGAACAAGATATTTTCATTTCAAGTACCGTAAAATCTGCTTGAGCTGATGTTGAGGGAAATAGGTGAAGAGGTTGCTTTGGGGATAAAGAAAAAAACCCGCAGTATTACGTGTAAATTAACAACAGCAACAACATAGAGCTCTGTTGGCCTCGGTGACAGAAAGTGATGCTACCAAGCCAAAGATGGGTGATTTTAATCTGCGGCCCTCAGGCCTGGTTTTGGTTTTGGTCAAACATTCTTCTGAGTGGTATAGCACTGGTGTGTCCATTTGCTGGACAGAGGTAACTCGTGGTTGCTGTGATGCTGAACACTGTGACACTGATGTGTCAAATGCGATAATGGTCACCCATGGTGGACAGTGTTTGAAAGCATTACTTTCTATCCACTAGTCCAACTGAGCTTTCTCTGTTGTTTTTAAGTGCCATCGAGTCCTAGACACATAGAGACCACCTGAACACTTGTATAACTTTCATCCTTTCTCCAAGTTCACAGACTTTCCGGAGGCAAGCTATTTCGGTCCTCGCCTGCCTAGAGATACTAATTCGTCTAAGCCTCGGACTTGTTTAGTCTGGTTGGAGCAAGAGGAGTTTCTCCTTAGCTACAGGGCTGAGCAGATTGAGGCGCGCGCGAGCAGGCCTTGGCGGCGCTTGCACTCGGCGGTTTACGGCGGTGGGCGGAGCGCGCGGCCCCATGTGGTCCCGACATCATTGACATGGCGGAATCCCCCATCCAACCCTCCTGGTAGTTATTTGAGCGCGGCGGCCGGAGGAGGAGGAGGCGGAGGAGGCGGAGAGCGGCGGGAGCAGCGCAGGCGGCGGCCGGGAGGCTCGGAGCTGCGGGCTGGGAAGGCGTGGGCGACCCGGTGTGTGGCGCGCCTGCACCCCGCGATTCAGCCCGTGCAAGGTAAGGCTTGCAGGCGGCTGGGGCTGGAGGGGGACCCCGACCCCGCTTCTCCACCTCCCCTCCCTGCGTCTCCACCTCGCCCGGCGTCCCCACCTCCGGGGCTCGGCACCCTCCACGGCCCCGGCCGGACGCCGACTCTGCCAAAGTGGGTTCCTGTCCCGGGAGCGCTCCGAGCTTTCCCGGGAAAACTTGGCGCCCGAGTGCTGGGGCGCCCCGCGCTCTCCTGGGCACCTCGGGGACGCGGGGCCGGCCCCCACCGTGGGTTTGCGTCTCGCCGAGCTGAGGTCCCCCACTGGTCCCCCCACCCCTCCCTAATAGCCAGGGTCTGGAGGAGGGAAAGCAGTGGAGATTCCTTCTGGGGGGGGGGTCTGGGCAGTGGCTCCCCGCCCCCCGCGCCCCCGCCGGAGGTTCCGTCCGCGGAATCCGCTCCCCCGCCCGGCGCTCGGCGGAGGAACGCGGCCCGGGAGGGGGAGGGCGAGCCCGGGCCGCGGAATCTTCGACGTGTCACTTTCTGAGGCTGTAGATTTCCATATGGCGCAGGGAGGGGGGCGCGCGTGCCAAGTGGGGCTGCAAGTTGGGGCCGCCTGTGCGCGCCCGGCGGGGGCCGCGCGGCCTGGGGAGGCTGGCGGTGGGGGTCTCGGCCCGCACCCCCGGGC